GACTAAATCCTATACAGGAATGACAACAAATGAATTATTACTTTGTCAAAGCTAATTTATTACTGGATTGGAATTAAAAGTATCATTATGAACTTGTGCTTTCATTAGCTACGTAGGTGTCTGTAGCTACAGATCAGATATATACATTCATAGATACAGAGGGGGATATATGTGTGTGAATATACACATAAGTAATGGCATTCCAAGAGCAACAAGTGCAGCTGGTATCCATTTTATTTCTACAAACCATTTTTCAGATAAAGGAACCAGAAGCCCCCAGAGAAACACATGATCTGAGGGATGGGGGAAAAAATTTAGGATAAACCTGGAATATTATATTGTGGCCCAAAATAATAAAGTACCTAAAGCATGACGAGAACATGTCAGAAGGATCAGAATCCAGCTGACAGTAGAATATAAACATTAAAAGTGACAGCAACGCATGCCAACATTGTGGCACAGCAGGTTAAGCTGCTGCCTGCAACACTGGCATTGCGTTTGAGGACTGGTTTGATTCTCAGCTGCTCCTCTTCAGATCCAGGTCCCTGCTAACACATTTGGAAAGCAGTGGAACAAGGCTCAAGTACTTGGGCCCCTGCACCCATGTGGGAGGCCTGGAAGAAGCTTCTGGCTCCTGGCTTTGGATCGGCGTAGCTCCGGTCATTGCGGCCAATTGGGGAGTGAACCAGCAGATGGAAGACCTCTCTCTTTCCCTCTCTGCCTCTCCTCCCTCTGTATAACTCTGACTTTGAAATAAATAAATAAATCTTAAAACAAAAACAAAAACAAACCTGGCTTATAGCCTTCAAAAATGTTAAGGTCATAAAAGAGACAGACAGACTGAGGAGACGTTCAGGTTGAAGGTCTGTAAAGGCACGACAACTAATGTACTGTGTATGTAATTCAGACTGGAACTATGCTCGCTAGGGTTTTTGTGTTTGGGTTTTTCTCTCTCCCCTAAGGATAATACTGAGGCAATGGGTGAAAACAAACATCTAGAGATCAGACAATGACACTATACTCTGTCTTTACAGTTACATCATAAATGTGTAAGAGAAAATCCTTACTCCTGAACATATACACTGCAGTATCTGAGGGCAGACAAGCACCATTTCCACAATGTACACTCAGTGGTTTCAGAGATGAGAATAAGCAGAAGAATGATAAAGTCAATATGGTGAAAAAAATAACAAATGGAATATGGGTAAAGGGCAAACTGGAGTTCTTATATTAATATAACTTTTATGTAAGTCTGAATATATATATTTCAAAAATAGTTTTAACTGTTTTCAGGAAATGTAAATTTTCAACACTACTTATGTATTTGGATAGGAACAATGACAACACCAAACATTCCTGAGAACATGGACAACAGCGCCTCTCATTCATTGACAGTGGGAATTTAAAATGGCACAGATACTTTGGAGATAGCCTGGTAGTTCCTTACAAAATCAAACACACTCTCGGCTGGTGCCGTGGCTCACTAGGCTAATCCTCCGCCTAGCAGCGCCGGTACCCCGGGTTCTAGTCCCGGTTGGGGCACCGGATTTTGTCCCGGTGGCTCCTCTTCCACGCCAGCTCTCTGCTGTGGCCTGGGAAGGCGGTGGAGGATGGCCCAAGTGCTTGGGCCCTGCACCTGCATGGGAGAGCAGGAGGAAGCACCTGGCTCCTGCCTTTGGATCAGCGCAGCGCGCCGGCCGTAGCAGCCATTTTGGGGGTGAACCAGCGGCAGGAAGACTTTTCTCTGTCTCTCTCTCTCTAACTCTGCCTGTCAAAAAACAAAACAAAAACAAACATACTCTTGTCATATACACTAGCTAGCAATCACACTTGCTATAATTTATCCAAATTATTTGAAAACTTATGTCCACACAGAAACACACAGCAGCTGTTTATAGCAAATTTATCCACAAGTGCCACCATTTAGAAGCAACCAGGATGTTGTTCAACAGGTGACTGGATAAACAATCTACGGTACATTCAGACTATGGAGTATTATGTAGCTCTAAGAAGAGAGGATCCAGGAAGCCATGAGAAGAATGCCCTTCCGGACATCGTCCACTGAACAGGCTGCAAACTGCATGGTTCCCACCACGTGACATTCTGGGTCAGGCACAACTATAGAGAAAGGACAAAGAGCAACGGCTGCCAGGCAGCTCTGAGAGGGAACCGGGAGCAGACAGATCCTGGAGGACTTTGAGGGCAGTGAAACCGGTCTGTAGGATACTGTGGTGGTGGACTCACCCCTTATGCATTTGTCACATCAAGGGAACACCACCCAGAGGGAACCCTCCTGGAAACCATGAGCCCTGCTGAGGGTGTGTCAGTGTCAGGTCCATCACACTGCCCTGGTGGAGCAGGCTGACAGTGGGGAAGCTGTGCCTGGGCGAAGCAGGACATTTAGGGGAGCTCTGCTTTCTGTCCAACTTTGCCGTGGACCTAAAACTTCTCTAAAATATAAAGCGTAAAAGGAAGAATGAATATTTTGATGGAGGGGTTGGCGCTGTGGCATAGTAGGCTAAGCAGTGCTGGCATCTATGTGGGTGTTGGTTCATGTCCCTGCTGCTCCTCTTCCAATCCAGCTCTCTGCCCAAGTCCTTGGGCCCCTGCACCCATGCGGGAGACCCATCAGCAGCTTCTGGTTCTTGGCTTCGGATCGGCCCAGCTCTGCTCCTTATGGCCATTTGGGGAATGAACTAATGAATGGAAGACCTTTCTGTCTCTCCCTCTGTCAACTGTTTATTTTCCTGAGTTGTTTCTAAGCTTACATACTGCGACTTTTTCTTCCTCTCTTCATACAAGTGAAAATTGTTTAAAGAAATAAAGGAGCAGGCATTTGGCCTAGCACCGAAGACACCTGTAACCCACATAAGAGTACCTGAGTTTGATACCTGACTTCAACGTCCTGCAAACACAGATGCTGGGAGACAGCAGGGGATAGCACAGAGACTCACATGGAGTTCCTCAGTCGTGGTTCTTGCAATCCTTTAGGGACTGAACCAGCAGATGGGAGCGCTCTCTCTCCCTCTTGAACAACTGCTTTTTTAAAAGCTTTATTTATTTATTTGAAAGTCAGAGTTACAGAGAGGGAGGGAGGGAGGGAGGGAGGGAGAGAACAGCATTAATCTTCTATCCTCTGGTTCACTCCTCAAGTGGCCCAAATGGCCACAGCTGAGCAAGGCCAAAGCCAAGAGCCAGGAGTTTCACCTGGTCCCCCATGTGGCTGGCAGGGGTCCAAACACTTGGGCCATCTTTCACTGGTTTTCCAGGCGCATCCTCAGGGAGCTGGACTGCAGGTAGAGCAGTAGGGATGCTAACCAATGTCCATATGGATATGGGTCAGCTTCACACCGCAGCTACTCTGGCCCCATTGAATACACTTAAAAATTAAGAAAAATATAATCAGATAATTGTGTGCTTACTTTATCATTTTTAAAGGTCTATGATGACTTTGAATATTCAGTACTGACAGATCTTTTTTCTGGGAGCACACAAGTAACTACCTCCATATTTTCTCATTTCTCTAATGAGAAGATACGTTCTTCACAAACAAAGTAGTCTGGATATTTTAAAATAGGTGAACAGTTAATAGATATCAAAACACTGTCACAGTATATTTATATGTCAACACCCAAAGAAAATTTCTGAACTCACAAATCTGCAATTTAATCTACTATGAGATTCCTAAATATGAAGTTAAAACCAGAGAAACATCTGATTTTAACCAGAGATTCTAGAGTAGAAACACAAACCAATATGTACATTATAAAATTACACAAGGAGCTCATTTTGGTCACTTGAAGTGTTGTTTTTATACCTGCAATGATTGGCTTATTTCAGGATCCAAAGTAAACTAACAGATTATTGGGAGGAAAATACTGTGTTGGCAAGAAAAGAGTGACACATTCAGTATGTCTCCGACCTCCCCAAATCCCTGAGTTCCTTCATGCATGTCGGCCAAGGAGCTGTACGTCATTTACTAATGTATTTTCATTTGTTTAAAAAAAAAATTCCACAAAGACCTGCGCTTCTACTGTTTTCAAATGACAACAGAAAAAGTTTGGTAGAACAAGTTCTACGTTTCAGGATTCAGAAACAGAAACCAAAACCAAAAGAAAAACAAAATCCATGAAACCAGTATGAGATTAAAGGATGAAAACTATGGAAGAGCTTTTTCCGACTCTGCTTCAAACAGCTAAAGACGAGACCAGGGGCCGGTGCTGCGGCTTAGTGGGTAAAGCCTCTGCCTGCAGTGCCCCCATCCTACATGGGCTCCGATTCAAATCCCAGCTGCTCCACTTCCAATTCAGCTTCCAGCTAAAGCACCTGGGAAAGAAGTGGAAGATGGCCCACGTGCTCGGGAATCTGCATCCATGTGGGAGACTCCAAGTTTCAGATCAGGCCAGCTCCGGCCACTATGGCCATTTGGGGAATAAATCAGTGAGTGGAAGATCTCTCTCTAACTCTCCACTCTCTGTAACTCAGTCTGTTGAATAAATAAATATTTTTTTGAAAGCAAAGACCAATATACAAGAACTCAAAAACAGGAGCAGGCATTTGGTCTAGTGGGTAGATGCCCACATCCCATATGGGAGTGTCGGTTCCAGCACCATATCCACTTCTGATTCCAGTTTCCTGCTAATGCACACTGTGATTTGGTTCCTCCCACTCATATAGGAGATGTGGACTGAATTCCAGGTTCCTGATTTCAGCCTGGCCTAGCCCTGGCCAATGAGAGCATTTAGGGAAAGAACTAGTGTATAGGAAATCTGGCTCTCTGCCTTTTAAATAAATATAATGAATACATGAAAACTGAAAAATAAATCAATGGGAGCCTGAATGTCTTCAAGTTTTCTTCTCTGAGTTTTCCATTTTTTCCCAATACTAAAGCTCTACTTAAAGTTTAGTAAGAAACATTATTAACAAACTGCTAACATCCACCTTATCTAAGAAGATACCACTGGCCCTCTGAGACATCAGTCACATGCATTATTACTTACACAATGGTGTTGGCTTAGGGGCAAATCCAACCTTTCTCTTGGCCTTCATATGTTTTCTGTCAGTCAGGCAGGGATCCACAAAAAAGGCAAAGTTCCTCGCTCCCACACCTTGTCTTCATAATCATCACCTGAGCCCCAGTCCCAACTTGCATGTGTCGCTTGGGTCTTTGTGTTCAGATTTTCTGGACGACAGAACAAGCAAAACACAACACACACATACTCCTTCAGCTTCTGCCGACGGTCTCACTGTTTATGAGGCTCTGAAGTGGCCCATTAGGCCAGTGTGAAACCAGGACCTAGTGGAACACACAGCTTCCTAGGTGAAATGATAATCTGGTGCCCTTTAAAATTAATCCTGTTGGGGTGGCCACTGTGACACAGTGGGTTAAGCCGCTCCTTGTGGCACTGAAATCCTATCACACTGCACGAGAAGAAACCGCACCTCTGCTCCTAACCAGCTTCCTGCTGATGCTCACCTCGGAAGGCAGCAGACGACAGCTAACGCATGTGGGAGAGCTGAAGGGAGCTCCTGGCTCCTGGCTATGTCTGGTCCAACTCCAGCTGTTGTGGGCATTTGAGGAGTGAAACTTATTTATTGGAAAGTCAGACACAGAGATACACAGAGAGATCCCATCCACTGGCGCTCTCGCTCGCTCACTCTCTACTGCTTTGCTTTTCAAATAAATAAAACTAAACTAAAAAAATTAATCCCATTTCAATGCTTGCTCAACGTTTATTTTGAGCAAGGAAAGAATGAAGAAATAAAACCTGGGGGCAGCTGACAACCTCTTCTATTCTTGATTCTTCAGTATGGGGAAGAGAATTGTACTCAACGACTGACAAAATAAAAGGACATGGAATCCACTGGACCCAGTTTCATGAGAAATCTGTTCGATCACTTATTGCTGCCCAAGAGTGTCCCTCAGGACTCTCAAACGACAACAAGTAACCACTCTCTACTTGAGAAAATAATTGACAATCTTCTCCATGTCACCAGGTTTCCACAGTGCCCAGTGCTCATTCATGTTCTACCATCTCTTGGACAATGACAACATGAGGGCTCCCAGGCTAGCGAGCCCCTCACCCAGCTCTGCTAAGAAGAGCAGTATGGCCAGTGGCCTTTGGCCCTTGATCCTGCTCTCTATCTCTCCTACTCCTTAAACCATGAAAGGAGGTGCAGGTGTTTGGCAAAGTCGTTAAGGTGCTGCTTGGGATGCCCACCTCCCATGTCATCACCCACAGTGATGGGTTCAAGTCTTGGCTCCGCTCTCCATTCCTGTCTCCTGCTACTGTGCATCCTAAGCAGCAGCCTGTGAGGGCTGAAGAAGGTGGGTCCCTGCTACTCAGGTGGGAGATGCAGACAGAGTTTCTGGTCCCTGGTTTTAGCCTAGAGCAGCTCTGGATATTGTGAGAATTTGGGGAGTGAACCAGTGGGTGTGAGATCTATTTCAAATAAATAAAAAAGTCTTGAAAAAGGCAAAGCAAATTCCTCCAAGCTTGTTCACTTCAGAAATTATGACTGAACCCTAAGGGACAGAGTGTCATGGCTCGGTCCTGAGTTGAGATCAAATATAAGGTATATCAGAAATGTCATGGAAAAATGAATCTAAGCATAGTTTTGTCCCAATACACATTTTTTTATGAACATTTTCAAGACCCTTCATGTAAGTCTCTCAGAGATTCACTATTCTTAGTTTGAGGTCCTATTAATTTTATTTAAGGTTGCATCCTAAACACTATCCTATCTTCAAAAATAGTTTTTCATGGTAATGGCCAAAATTTGCAGGTTTCATACATGCTAAATACTATTCATACTAACTTTATACAAGTAATTTCATTCTTATTCTTCCACTATTTATTTAGAAACCTGCTTATTTCCAAGATTTCACTCTTTCCAAAAGTGCTTCAAGGAATATCTGTGTCTTGTTCAGAGTGTTACCTGTGCTTTAGGTAAAAAAAGGAAAGCCCCTCTGGCAGGTGATTCAACTGGGAGGAGAAAGGAACACCTGGCAATCTCATGGGAACTGTTTTTTTGACAGGCAGAGTGGACAGTGAGAGAGAGAGAGACAGAAAGAAAGGTCTTCCTTTTGCCGTTGGTTCACCCTCCAATGGCCGCCGCGGCCGGCGCGCTGCGGCCTGCGCACCGTGCTGATCCAAAGGCAGGAGCCAGACGCTTCTCCTGGTCTCCCATGGGGTGCAGGACCCAAGCACCTGGGCCATCCTCCACTGCACTCCCGGGCCACAGCAGAGAGCTGGCCTGGAAGAGGGGCAACCGGGACAGAATCCGGCACCCTGACTGGGACTAGAACCCGGTGTGCCGGCGCCGCAGGTGGAGGATTAGCCTAGTGAGCCGCGGCGCTGGCCTGGGAACTGTTTTTGAACTACACAAACTTATCCCACTCCTGCTGCACCTGTGATGCACCTGGGCCTGCATCCTGCCAGGTGGGCAAGGGTGTGTGAGTTTTCTCCCAAACGATTCATTCCTTTCTTCTACTTGCCACCCCCATTTCTATGAACCACTAGGATAGTTGAAGGAGACCATTAGACTTCAGTCTGCACCACGCATCCTGTCCTCATGTGACTGCTGGCCTGGCCTGCTCCCCATGATGTCATGCCCTCCTGCTGCCCACCCTGCTGCCCCAGAGCTTCACTGAGGGTCTCGGGTGAGCTCAGCCTGTTTCATTGTTGACTGCAATGAAAACCGACATAGTGTCTGGTCGAATGAGACAAAGAAATGGAAGGATCCATAAAAATCCTTTTTCAAACAGCAAGCCACTGACAAAGGAGAAAGGAAACTGCAGGGCGGCCAGAGTGAGTTCCTGTTCTTCGCCTCTCCCCGTTCCAGAGCTGTGCTTCTCAACCTTATTTCCTACTTCAACTGCCCTCCTTCCCCAAGGACATTTGGCAAAGTGTGACATGATGGTTATCACACCTGGGGCAGGTGTGGGGTAGTGGGCTCCTGGCATCTTGGAGGTGGGAGCCAGGGATGCTAATAAATACCCTATGATGCAAAGGACAGTGCCCCCCTCACACCCTACTGATAAAACAATCACCCGGCCCCAGATGGAGACTGGCGAGCCCTGCTCCAGAATGTGCGTTTCCAGCTGCCCACTGCTCTTCTGCTCCCCCACTGTGGATGAAGCAGACCCAGACTGCCACCCGTCAGTTTTCTGCAACCCCATCCTTTCTCCTGCCTCTTTGTCCAATGCTCTACTTTCCCCAGGTCCCAATGGAAAGATGACGACATTTAACCAAACAACTTAATGACTTTAAATAATTTCCTCTGATAGTCAGTCTGTAGTTGGCAAACCTTGAGCAGTAAGGTTCTTGAGCAACAGGACTCCGTATGCCTTACATAACATCTGGGAAATTGTGCAGAGATGAGAATAGACTGAGTCCCGCTGCACTGGGAACATGATCCGTGACCTGCGGTGTTTTGGCATCACTGTCCTTACATGGCCTTGAATCATGGCTGCTGAACTTCATTCTTTTAGAGCCATTTCTAGTTCTCTAGATGAACGTACTGCTTTCTTTGGATATTCCTCCACTTTCTCAGTCCTTTGAGCCATGACTCAGATCCCAACAATTACTCCTCGCTCCAAAATGTTACTATAATTAGCATTCCTATTGAACTTAAACATACAACAAGGAAACAGAACTGATGTTACTTGATAACATACTTGACAAAACATATGCCTTGAAGACAAGTGCCCTTTGCGGAAGTTTTTAAAAAACGCTTAACATTCAGGTCTGAATGTTTTATTGCATTCATTTTACCCACTGTGTTCGTTTTGAACTGCTGGGTAAGATTGAGCCTGCAGAATGAACTTTAAAGATTTAACAACAAAAGGGTTGATAAAGGGTCTGGCTTTCACACCTGTCTTCAATGCATCCGCACTAGATTTCAAATGCATTTATCCACGCAATGAAGAGCTAGGAGCAAAGAGGGAAATAGCTGATGTGTGGTCCCATCAAAGACCTGAGCAAAATGCCAGCTGCTTGTATCTACCACACTTTTGGGACTCTACTAAGCATCAGTTTCCTCCTTACAATCCTGTAAGGTAAGACAAAGAAATTAAGACTCAAAAAATACATGAGAAAACCTCAGGGCCATACAACTAAGCAGTGGCAGAGGCAGATTCTAAGCCCAGATCCTGTGGGATCAAAGCCGATGCTAAATACTAACACTTAGTATTATGGGGCATATGTTCTGAAAGAGCTATATGGTGGGGGCAGAAGGAGCTCTGGCTCCGAGGTTCAGATGTCTGCGTCCCACAGAGGAGTGCCCGGGCTTGCTACTCAGCTCTACTACCACTAGCTCCCCGCTAACATGACCTTGGGAGGCAGCAGGGATGGCTCAAGTAGCTGGGTCCCCACCACTCAATATTTTATGGATAAGGAGACTGAGGCTAAGAGAACTTACACTGGGGCTGGCACTGTGGCATAGCTGGTAAAGCCATCTCCTGTGACACTAACAACCAATATGGGCGCGGGTTTGAATCCTGGCTGCTCCACTTTCGATCTGCCTCCCTATTAATTGCCTGGGCAAAGAAGTGCAGGGTGGTCTGAGTGCCTGGGCCCTTGCTACCCACAAGGTAGACTTGGAAGAAGCTCCTGCTTCTAGGCTTCAGTGTGGCCCAGACCCAGCTGTGTGGATGGAAGATGGATCTCTGTTGCTGACTTTGTTTCTCCCTCTATGAACTCTTTCAAATAAATAAAGAAATCTTAAAAAAAATTTTACATCTAATTGCAGATGTGAAGAGGTAAATGGTAATTTTTTTTTAAAATATTTATTTATTTGAAAGGCAGAGAGGCAGAGGCGGAGAGAGACACAGAAAGAGGGAAATGTCTTCCATCCGTAGGTTCACTCCCCAAGTGGCCTCAACGACCAGAGCTGGGATGATCTGAAGCCAGGAGCTTCTTCCAGGTCTCCCACATGGATGCAGAGGCCCACGCACTTGGGCCATCTTCTACTGATTTCCCAGGCTATGGCAGAGAGCTGGACTGGAAGTAGAGCAGGAGGGACTCGAAGTGGCGCCACATGGGATGCCGGCATTGCAGGTGGCGGCTTTACCAGCTACACCACAGTGCCAGCTGCAGAACTTGGTTTTCAGCATAGTTTGACTGCTGTAAAAACTGTCCTTCTAAGAATACTCATACAATGTATGGCCCCCACCACCCT